TCGGGTCCCGCTCTAAACGTTCGAATTATCGGAAAATCGAATTAAAGGGGGTCGAATTATAGGCAGTTGACTGTACTCCCATTCAATTCAAATATACAAGCCGACATCCATCTAAAAAGCTAATATTCTATGGCGAAACGGAAAAGGGGGATCAAATATGCATCAAATTCACTCGGAGGTACTCAAGTGAAACACACCAGTATTGTGCTTCGTTAAGGGCCGCACCGGTTCTACATGCTTGTCAAATGATTATTGGCGGATGGTATTTAGTAGTTATGGATGCAATCAATCGTAATGAACATAGAGTATACTCAGAACGGCACGTGGACAATTTTCCATCCACTGTTGGACTTGGTCGCAAGATTAGAGAGGTTGTCACTCAACTTCACAACCGAAATATGGTTCACGGCGACCTACGAGATACAAACATCATTGTGGCGAACGACGGCAGCTTTATGTTAATTGACTTTGATTGGTCGGGGATAGAGGGACAAGTGCGCTATCCACCACTTGTCAACCGTGTTGATATCCAGCGACCAGATAACGTACTAGATGGAAACCTCATCATGCGGCAAGACGATGTCTATATGCTCGATAGGTTGTTTCCATTACCAGCAGTGGATGCAATGGACACGATGGAAACGCCTGATTGAACGTTAATGATATAGATTATTTCCTATAACTGAATAGCAGACTGAAAAGATGTAGTCTTGTTGTAATGACTATCTTGTGTTGTCATGTTGAGGTTAGTTAGTAATAATATAAGAATTGGTCAAAAAATGTAAATACAAACAAATCTAGCACATCTTGTTTAGCAGTTTTATCTAGAAATAATAATAAGCAATCAAAGTTTTTTCCTTCGCGACAATTAATAACTTGAATAAAAACGTGCGAAGTATTAAAATTATATATAGGATTACCCGTATATGAAAAATTATAATTATAACGGTTCCGCCGAGTACGAAAAAGCCATGCGTTTCTTGGAGACAGGTTGCAATTGTGGTTGTTCAAAAGAGATTTCGAGAGAAAATTTTGCCGAATTACGTGAAGCGTTTCAATCACTCTCTAGACCCGAGCAAGATATATTTGTAATGGCCCAACTTAAAGCAATGAATGGTGGGGAAATAACTGCCAGCCGACGTCTTAAAAAGAAAACGCGTACTAATAAGCGAACGTTTTACTACTGAGATCGCAATAC